CCCCAACCGGTCTCCTCCCTCCCTACCTTCTTTGAATGGCGGCTGCTTATGCTGGACATGTGGCCAGAGACTGGTAAAGATCACGTGGAACCTCGGCAACCTAAGACAGAGCCATTGCCATGCTGCAATGAGTTTCGATGACAGGTAAGATGGAGGAATTTGCACTGACCACCTAAGACAGGCAGCGTCCCTTAAACAAATAATAAGGGGGAATCTGATGCAGACCGTGCAGACCCGGTCAGGAGTTCATGTCCCTGTGGGCCCAAGCGTTGCAGACCGTCCAAACCATAGGCTCTGAGGATCAGACTTTAGCCACCTAGCAGACATAGCAAACTGGCCCTCATCTGATTATTCAATTATGCTTGTTAGTAATCTCATACATGAGCCCTGGATATCCACAGATAAATGTAAAAACCTTCCCTAAAAGCCGAGACTGTAAATTCCAAAAAGGCAAAGTTTTTTCACTCCCCAAAAAATAAAAAGCTAAAGAGGATAGAGAGAAACACTGTTAACTGATGATGTATGGAGGGGATTATAATCAATGTAATGAAACAAGTCATATGAATGGTTGAATGTGAAACTGATGATGTGCCCTGTAAACTTTCACTCAAGCCACAATAAAAACCTTGAAAAAAAGAATTATGTCAGTATAAGCTTTAAATTGCTCACAAACTTTAAAGACAAAGATCAGATAGCTCTCTTCAGCTTTTGGTTTCTATCATCATTGTGTCACTAAGCATTATTATGACTTCGTTGTTGTTAAGCGCTATCGAGTCAGTTCAGACTCATAGCGACACTGTATAGGGTTTCCAAGGAGCGACTGGTGACTTTGAACCGCCGAACTTGTGGTTCAAACTGACCCTGCGGGCCGGTGTTTTCTTCGTGTCACACCAGGACTCCAGGCATTCATAACTCTGGGCTCAGTCCCTTCATTTTAAATGCGTAAGAATGAGGTACTAATTGCTACAGAGCCTCTCCTATCTGTGTCAACCAACGAGACAGTTTTACTTGAAGATGTGATTGCCAAAATAGTTTCTCAAAATGTCCAGAAGAAAGGTAGTCTTAAAGACTTTGACTCCATTTTCACTGGCCACTGTACCATGACTTTACAGTGGTTTTGATTTCCACCTCTGCAAAGGTGTTGTTCAGAGTCTCAAAAGCATCATTTGTCCCTCTGATGCCACTCTAGATTCAAGGTACATTTGAAATTATAGATTACAAATTTCAGTGCTAGATGCAATTTGAGCTACAACTCTCAGAACTATTTGAAAGATCTGGCCATGAGCATTAGTATTTAAATATCTTAACCAAAAACTGCTTTCCTAATAATGTTAACAGAGGAAGTAAAACAAAGGGAGGGTCAGTGACAAAATGTAAAAAAGCAAGCTTGATTCAATTCCTATTGTAATCGTTTGTTAAACAGTTACCTTGTTCTACAAGTACTCTGTTTATGAGCGCACCATGGAAGTATGGCTTTCACTCCACCCATGTGGGAGAAGGGAAGCAATGAAGGAAATGAAAGAGTTCATTTAAGTGCCATGTTCACATAAGGCTAATTTGTAAAAGCTCAATCTAGCTGAATATACTTACAGCCACTGCTGGTCCACAAAACTTCAGTTGAGGAGACTAATTGAGATTCCTCAGGAGAACTCTTCTCTTTAGGAGTTACAGAATGTCTCATTAGGCATTCGGTCCCTCCCCCTTCTCTAGAATACTGAGTCTGACTCTGCTTGGCCTGAGTTTACAGCTTGTGAATTTCCAATAGATCCTAATACATCATTGTTATTAAGACTTGGTGTTGCTTTGCTCCTTTTTTTGGCGGGTGTGTGTGGGGGGGGTGGAAGTGGGAGTGTGGAGAGGGGAATTTCTAAAGTAGCATTTAGCAGAATTGTAGTAGTTATACTGGCATTGAATTTTGTTTTTAAAATCAACCACAAAGAACTATGCCCCACCTCCAAGACTGCAACACAAGAGACTGAAATCCCTATTAACCATCACCTCTAATCTTGCACTACAGAAGTGTGTTCTTCAAAGCACAAGCATTAGAGCTGATGGCAGAACTTTATAATAGTAAACGCCACAAAATCTTAACTTGTACCCCTTTTCAATTCTCTGTGCAGATGCAACAGCCCAACATTTGACTTTTATCAGACCAGTGAGAGTATGATGCCCATTTGACTCGTTTCTTTCTATACTAAAATGACATGTTGTGCACTCCCCTGTGTATTAAAAAACAAAACAAACAAAACGCCTAAAGATGTTTGAGGAATTAGTATCATGACGAACTACATTTACTTTAAATATCTCATTAGACTAAGCTTCTCCCCTGAGTTGGAAAAAAAAAATCTCTTGGCACAATCATGGAATACCTCTTTCCCTCTAGCTACTATTATTATACACAGTATTACAGGCTTGCAAAGCAGCATGGGACGATACAAAAATAGTATTCAGGTCTCCAAGTAGTTGCCATTATTATTACTGATGAGTATTTGTATGTATATATGCAATGGCATGCACACAGACACAAAATATGTGTGCGTATGTACATATAATACACACCCAATCTGCTCCTGCCCAAAGTTTAACTGAATTATTCTATTTGTGCTTCGCACATAAATAAATTACTTATCAGTTATCTGTTATCTACAAGATAAAATGACTCAGAGCTAGTCCATAATTAAAAAGCAAAATTTCTTATTGTTTGAAAGTTATTATTTTTCTAATGGGAATGCGATAATGTATTTGAATACACTTTGTGCCCCTACATTCCATTCTGACTACCTTTTTTTCATTATCATGTTCTCTAGGAAGGTCTACTAGGTAAATGAAATTACACTGATAATTTCTTTTAGCCTTTAATATATTTCCTACTAAAAATCACGCTCTTGAGACAGAAGGTATTACTGGTTTTGTTATTATAAAAACAAGTGACCATTTTTAATTCACAAAGAATGAAAACACAAGACATTGGTCATACTGTACATACAGTAATACAATAAACTGATTAGCTGGAGACTAATAAAACATTTAAGACTTCACAGACACACATATATGTACTTGGAAACAAGAAATCCAGGACAATTTCAATCTTTGATATTTTCAAGAGTGCTGAGAGGAAGAACATCACTGATTTGAGTCTAATTGTTTTTCTGGTATGTAATTACTTTATATATTCCAGTCCTGAAGCAAACTGCATTATTAAGGACATCTTTTAGGCAAAAATACACATTTTGATATAAGGCTTTTATCCCTGCCCAAAACAATCTGCTTCCTTACAATTATCCAGTACTTGGTTTGTTACCAATTTAACAAGATCACGACAACAAGCACACTATTTTCACTACAAAACTCAGGTGAGAGGTTTTTAAACAGACCACACAAAAGAAATCTTTTTTTCCCTAAGGAAGGCAATCCTAATTGTAAATGCAATCCTAATCAAGAGAGTCTTGGTTACAAATCAGTTGCTTCCAAATATTGAAGAAACAAAAATGGGGAGAGGGCAGCAGCAGGAAGTGAGAAAGCAGCAGGGAGTATAAAAGGTGTGAAATCAGGAAAATATATCTGCCACTGGGACTCTGAGATTCCATCCGTTTTTTATAAATGAGGTATAAGCATATGCCAGTAAATCAAACACAAAAAAATTTTTTTTTTAAAAAAAAAGCACATTTCCAAGGGAAAAATCTCTAAGCCTCTTATAGTTTTCTTTATTCAGATCAGATATTTCATATACAGCAGTTAATCTAGAAAAATACATTTTAAAAAATCTTTAACCGACCATGCTCCCTGTAACAAACCTTTCCAAACCCTGTTTTATTATACAAAACCATCTGCATCAGTCATGTAAAAAGAAATTCTCAAATTTAGCAATGTCTCTTGCCATTCAACAGCCATCTGATTTATATATGGGTTTCCAACTATTCTTATTGTAGAGTTAGAATTCTGTAATAAATTTCTTCTAATGTATTCTGTACATATTAAATAATCTAAAAGGTTCCTCTTGTAGTGCATTTAAGAGTTAGCAAGTTTATTCAGTATTTTTTCCAGTACCATTCGCATTATCAGTGATTTGTCTGTAAATGTAATTAAAACCTAAAAGTGCGTACAGTTACCTTCCCCAAATACCAGCCTACTTCTGGAGGAAACCTAATATTCACAGAGAAGATCACCTACACCAACACCTACACCGTGGTTAGAAATGTACTGTGAGACTATACAATAATTATCTACACAAGCTAAAGGGCATTAGGTCTTTAGCCTATATTTACAACAAGTAAATTTCCACAGGGTCATACCAAGAACTCAGCACGGCACTAGATACAATGAGAATTGTTAGCTACAATTCAGTGTCGTGTACATAGCCTAATAATACCCTGAATTGACTTATGCTAAATAAAACCTCCAGTTTTGTCACAGTGTTGAATGTAGTATTTATTAGTGTGTTGCCCAAGCAAGCAAAGGTATTCAGGAAGGATGCTGTGCAACACAGTGAAAGACAGCAAGTCTTCATCAAAGGGTTTTATCTGGGTTAGGATGAACTTTAGCACTTAAGACTGTCACTGCATGCAGAAACCCTGAAGAAGAAATACACAGGTTTCAGAACGGATATACTTCATTTTGTTTAAAATGCCCAAGAGTGTTTTCAAAATAACTGATATTATTCCTAACAAGTGGTAAACCTATATGTGATGAACCTACAAATCATAAAAAGAAATTCGATATTATCCAGTTTGAGAAAGAAAAAAAAATACAAAATAAACAAAATGTTAATTTTTTAACCTAAGTATCCAGTGTGTGTGTGTGTGTAAATGTATGTGTATATGTGTGTGTGCACACATGCACACACACGTATTTATGCCTGGTTCAAATTGCAGGTTATGATTTTTACTGAAATTCAGAATATGAAATTCAAACATTCAAGATGATAGCAATCCATAATTACACACAGTTCTATCAACTTTCAACAAAGCAGCAAATATGAGGGCCTAACATACATATTGATACCCCCCACTTCTGATCCCTCAAAAAAAGTGCAAAATCAAAGTTACTGCTTGGTCCAAAAAATAAAAATACATTGTGTATAAAGATTTGAAGTCTGATGGAATCCAGCTTCTATTCCACAGGTTCTGTCTTCAGTAAAAGAATCAGCGTCCGAAGATAGAGCTTAATTCCAGAAGAATTAATTCTACAATCTGATTTTGGTACACAGTATGAACTGCTATATTACCAGTCTCTTTTTCTGGCTTTAATAAAGTGGGACCAAAAACAATTGCTATACTCTGGTAGGTCATTCGATTTTTTTCTCCATTTTCTATAACTCTGAGGGGAAGAAGAAAAAAAAAAGTTGTTAAAAGAGAAAATACAAAATAGAGTAAATTCTTCAAATTGTTAACACAAACATAACAGGATGGCATTCTGAAAAAGAGAAATAGTGTCCATTTTTCTTGGATGACCCAAGTAAAATTCCATGTGACGTTTTCTTAGGGATAAACGTAGTTTAAAGGTATCATTAGACATGATGGTGTTAGCTGTGCTGAGCTGGTCTCCGACTCATGGTGATCTCACATCGAGCTTTCATTGGCTGAGATTTTTGGACAGAGAGTCCTGGTGTGGTAGGGTAGGATAAGCAAGCACTGGACCGCAAGGTCGATTTGGACCACAAGGTCAGCAGTTCAAACCCACCAGTCATTCCTTGGAAATCCCATACAAGATGGCTGAGTCAAAACTGACCGGATGGCACTTACAACACCAACAGCCCTTCCTTCGTGGTCTGTGTTTGTCTGGAAGCCCACTGACACCTGCTCGGCAGCCTGGCCACAGACAAGTCTCCAATAGCAGATGGGTGGTAGCTGCACCTATGGAGCACTGGCCTCCTGCCTGGAAAGTGACAACTCTTACTGGTGAAACACCAATGTGGTCTTGATAGTATGAGATTGTCACTTCGCTTTAAAAATAGCTGTTGTTGCGTGCCGTCGAGTTGGTTCCGACTCCTAGTGACCCCGTAAACAGGGTTACCAAGGAGCGGCTGGTGGGTTTGAGCTGCTGACCTTACAGTTAACAGTTTAGTGCTTATCCCATTGTGCCACACCAGGACAGATGTAAACGAGTTATAACTCAGGTACGATGATAACTCTATTTAATTAATAGGGGTGGGGGATATCATTGCAACACAGAGACTGAATTTCCAACTTTACTCGTTTTGTTTTCTTAAAAACCTCTCCCTGGGGTAACTTTAGTACCCAGATGCTCTTTAATGAGCCACTGGTGGTTCACTGATTGATTTCTGGTCTTCCGTTTCGGGGTAAGTTAGCTGTCAAGTTGACTACAACTCACATACCTCATTTAGTAACTTCCATTTCAGAGTAACTAGTATACCTCAGGTAACAGTGACTCTCATCTTCATACTAGTGAACAGTAACAACATGCATAACACCTACTACGTGCTGGGTATTATATAAATTCTCCACATATAATCTCTAATTTAATGTAGTCTTCTCCTCTAAACCATTCTACATAGGAGGAATGGAGGCTTTTAGTCACTGGGTATCTTTTCCAAGTTATAAAGACAGTAAGTAGCACAGCTGAGCTCTGTAACTGGATCTGATGACCCTGACCCCATGCACTCCCTATATTTTATATTTGAGCAAGTCTCTTACCTTTTGAGATGTCTAAAAAGAGTCTGCATTGTATCTTGATTTGGCTTTGGCAATTGTTTGATTAAATCCTTAACAGCAGCGACTCTCTGTGTTGGTTCTTGTTCTGAAAAGAGATAACAATTCAAGATTTTTGCAGTACATCCTTATGAAGAGGGAAGCAATGACATGGTTTGGAAGTTGATATTTGGTGATGCACAGTGACATCTGGTGGTCACATTTCAAACTTGTGGAATAAACAATGCTTTAGAAAAGCATTTATAATAATAAATTCTATTGGCTTAAGCTGTACAGAGGATTTTCAGTACCTAGGAAAAAAACTGAGTGAATGACATACTTACTAATTGCATTAACAAAATCATTAAAATGATTAAATGTGAAAAGAGGTTCAGGCAATTCTCGAAAAAACATTTTGAGTGCTCCAGTGACGACATGAATATCTTCCCATTTACTATCATTCAAGTCCAACTTCTCATCTGAAAAACACAGAACCAGGAAACTTAAAACCTTTACTTTCACCATCACGGGTGATTCCTCTGGCTATAGCACTAGGTGACAGAATCTTACCATGGTTGACTGCAAATCTCAGCTTCTGTATCACTGCAAGGTTGCCACTTACTCTGTAGATTCCATCAATATCCAAACCTAAGAGACAAAGCATAATGCTTCCATGTCTGTCTCATCTAAACATGTATGCATGTGCAGAATTCTTACTTATGAGCATTATCCTAAAATCAAATGGGCAAATGCTGCTTCTCTCTAAATAGCTTTTTATATATGCTTTGCCAGGGGAAGGGAGGTGGTGCAATCTGTTTAAGCAACGGCAATAATTCTTTGTTTATGATGGTGAATGCTGATCGGCAAGACAACTGCATCATTAAACTTGAAATACTAACAACTAAAGATAAATGTCTGCAAACACTTTGGGGATGGTTCAAAAAGTATAAAAAGCCAGGGAGAAGAGCACAAGCAGAATGCGGCACCCTATCCAGAGAGGCAGGCAAGGTCACAGATGGAAGCAGAGAAGAGGACAAGGAGAGAGAGCAGCTGAGGACTCGAGACTCATGGAACGAGAAAGGCTGTGTGCTGACGGCCAGATGGCAGGATTGCAGAATGTGACCTTTGGTTGTTTAAATGAGTGTTTTTGTGTACTTCCAAATAAAACACACAACAGCAGGAACAGAAGCAAATACTGCTGAACGATGATGCAATGAAACTAAATACAATATAATGAGTATAAAACTTATGTTCTCCAATGTAAACTATCACTCAATTCAAAACAAAAATTAAAAAAAAAAAAAAAAAAGTATAGAGAGCATGGCCTCCCCTGTGATTTTCACATCATTTCATCAGGTAGAGAGAGATATGAAAGCACTTGCTAGAAAATGAGGTCATATAAGTGCTTGTAATAAATAAATTCAATGCAAGCTAATAACTAAACTAGTGGTTCTACAGAAACTATTGATAATTTGATGCAATTTATTATATTCTTTCATATGTGAAACAGAATCAGTTCACATCCACACAAATGAACATTAAAACTCATGGCTTCTTAAAAAAAAAAAAAACTACCAACAAAAAACCCTCAACCAGATGGCTTCATTGGCAAATTCTATTAAGTAGTCAGAGAAGAGCTGACAGCAGTTCTACTCAAGAACATATAAAAAGGTGGAATATTCCCAAACTCATTCTATGAAACAAAAAAAAATCTTGACACCAAAACCTAAGAAAGACATCAATGAAAAATAAAATTATAGACCAATATCCCTCATAAACATAGGGATCCTAGCCAACAGAATCCAACAACTTATCAAAAAAAATACATAATGACCAAGTGGGATTCATATCAGATATGCAAGAATGGTTCAACATGAGAAAAACAATCAACACAATCCACCACATAAGTAAAGCTATAGAAGCACATGATCCTATCAATTGATGTAGAAAAGGCATATGACAACATCCAGTGTCCATTTTAGATACAAAGGTCAGTAAACAGGAAAAGAAACTTAGTTCCTCAACCTAATTAAGGACGACGTATTGCATTGGGCAAATCTGTTGCACAGGAACTTTTTAAAGTATTGAAGAGCAGAGATGTCAGCTTGAGGACTAAGGTGC